GCCCGTGGGAAAAGGTGCTCACGCCAGAGTGGGTGGATGCTAAAAAAACTGTAATCCAGTGAGAGACCCGAACAGAGAGAGAGGGCCTTTGCTTCCAGAGATAGAGAAAAGGGATCCTTGTTTCCAAACTAGAGCAGCTCATCCTTAAAAGGCTACACCCCATGGACTACATGACCCATGCCATGCAGTTTTGGGAAGACTGTTTTGCCTGTGGGAGGGACTCACGTTACAGCAGGTCAGGCGGGACTGCTGCTCATGAAATTAAAACCACGCTAGAGGAATTCACAGAAAACTCTCCCATGGGAAGGACCCCACAGATAACAGAAAAAAGACTCCTTTCCCTAAGCAAACTGAAGAAAGATTTTGAGTGAAGAACTGACCAAAACCCCCATGCCCTGTCTCCCTGTGCTCTCAGTGGGAAGGAGGAAGGGGCTGGGGGGAAAAAAGGTGCTTAAAGGCTTATCTTACTTCTCATTATCCTCCTCTGACTCTGTTAATAATAAATTTACTTAATACATTCAAGTTTGAGCCTGTTTTGCCCTTAATCTGTTTTCTCCTAATCCTTATCTCAAGTCATGAACCCTTTGTTACGATTTCCATGAGTACCTGATATTTTAACCAATATCAAATCATGACAATTAGATATTAGGAAGAAATTCTTCCCTGAGAGGGTGATGAGGCACTGGAACAGGTTGCCCAGAGAAGCTGTGGCTGCCCCATCCCTGGAAGTGTTCAAGGCCAGGTTGGACAGGGCTCTGAGCAACCTGGTCTAGTGGAAGGTATCCCTGCCCCTGGCAGGGGGACTGGAACTAGATGATCTTTAAGGTCCCTTCCAACCCAGGCCATTCTATCATTGTATGATAGTGCTGCCTGGGCAGAAAATTTGGTTGTGAAAGTACGTCACATAGATGTTCATGTACTTAAAAGTCAGGCCACCAAAGAACATCAGAACAACCAGCAGGTGGATCAGGGTGCTGGGATTGAAGTGGCTCAGGACAATTTGGATTGGCAACATAGGGGAAGAGATGCAACTTTTAGTTGGAGGAGTCAACTTGCCCATGGACACTATCACACAGGTTATCCATGAATGTGAAACATGCACTGCAATCAAGCAGGGCCAAGTGGTTAAAGCCTCTGTGATATGGAGGACAATGGCTGAAATATAAGTATGGAGAGGCCTGGCAGATTGACTAGATCACATACCCCCAAAGCCATGACGGCAAGCACCGTGTGTTTACAATGCTGGAAGCAACCACAGGATGGCTGGAAATATACCTTGTGCCCCATGGCACTGCCCAGAATACTGTCCTGGGCCTTGAAAAGCAAGTCTTATGGCAAAATGCCACACCAGAAAACGGAGTCAGATAACAAGACTAATTTCTGAAACAACCTCATAGACATTTGGGCCAAAGAACATAGCACTGAGTGGGCGTATCACATTCCCTATCATGCACCGGCCTCTAAAAACATTGAACAATATAATGGACTGTTAAAGATGACACAGAGCAATGGCTGGTGGGACCTTCAAACACTGGAATACACATTTAACAAAAGGCATCTGGATAGTCAACACCAGAGGATCTGCCAAGCAGGCTGTCCCTGCCCAATCAAAACTTTTACGTACTGTAGAAGGGGATAATTCTTGTAGTGCACATTAAAAACAAGCTGGGGAAAACAGTCTGGGTTATTCCTGCATGTATGTAGTTGTCATCTGGGGTTAAACCACACCACCTCCTACACTGTTTCCTCTCCCCTGCATTGTATTTTCAGCAGACATCTGGTAAGTTGAAGTCCCCTGCAAGAACAAAGGGTAATTAATGTATGTGAGACTTCTCCCAACTGCTTATAGAGTGGTTGTGTGCACTTCAGGAGGACCCAGAGTATCTTAAAATGTGTTCAGAGGTATTGCTGTGTATTTCTGGAAAGGAAGTCACTAACCAAGCTTTTCATATATCTGCATCACAAATAAAGAAAAGTTCCCAGACATTTATTTCTGGAATTGTACACCAGGTATTAAAGTACAACAAATAGAAAATAATGCTAAAAAAAATAAAAATCAGTGTTTATGTACAAATATTAAAACCAATGCAACAATAGCGACTTCCTCTTGAACATCTGATATTAAATTTATGTCCCGATTGTCACGAAATTTGTTGTTATGCAAAAGGTACTTTGAATAACTGGAATCTGTTTTATTAAGAGGACTATAACCATACCTTCTGTATTTTACAATTGATAGTATTTTCCTTCTTCCAATGAAAAATAGGAATAAAAAAATAGTAACCTTGTCATTAATTTATAAATTACCGTAGTTTCCCCATCTGTAGACAATGTGCTTGTAAGTGCTGGGCAAATAGTGTCCCTGTTGGTCAGTTTATACATTAGTTTACATTCAAAGTTGAAATACTTACCTAAAGACTTTGGTTAAATTAAGTACTATCATTATGTTCTACTTGATCTGAAGTTTTCGTACATTTTTGATCCTCAATTTTAAAAGTTAAAAACAGGAAACAATTACACAATTCATTGACCTAATAGTACACAATTTAGCACTTTGACCATGGCAAGAGGAAAACTAAACCTTTAAAAACCTAACATGAGAAGATGACACATGAGTAACCAAAGTAAAAGTATTGCTATAATCACAGCATCAAGTTACACTTCTAAATGAATCAGCTATTCCCTTCGGATTCCCTGTACATTAAAAGGATACATTTACCAACACTGCAATTTCCCGTTATGGATTTTTGGTTTGTTTGCATGAAAAACAAGTATAGCAGAGGACAAAGAATTCATCACAGTTTGTTATAAGAATTGTGCTCCACCATCAAAGAACCAAGGCAATATAATTTCTTCATATGGTTGCAATTCAGTTGTTTTCATGCTGACTTTCAAAAGAAGACAATTCTTTTAATAAAAAGTAACAAGTTCTCCATTTTAAACGTTTCAACTGAGAGAAAAATAATTAAGTCCAGCTTCTAAATGAAAAATTCAATAAATAGCTATTTTACATGGATAAAGTTATCATGGTACAAATTTATGAATGTCACATCAAGCATGCACAAAAATGTTACTATACACACAAGTAGTCAGAAAATATTGAAATAGATATCTAAAAAGATATGAACAATTACATATTTACAAAATCTTGCAAATTATTGCCTCATTTTAACAAGGAATTAAAAGTAAACAATAACAGCTAGCTAGCCAACAAGCTAAATAAGATCAGCATTTAAAAATCTATTAGACTAGCTGAAATTAATTTTTCTCCCATAATTTTCTGAATTTTGGTCAAAAGTCTTTATTAAATAACTAAAGTGTCCATTCAACTTGCTGACAACCCAAGTCTTAGACAAGTATTTGTCTACATTAAGAGCCCAGCAATGCATAGATAAATTTAATATATTACAGCATCAGCTAATGAGAATGGGCATGTTCATTTAAACACAACTGTTATAAACATTCAGTCATCTTTGTGTAATGATTTTTATACAGACCAGCCACTCACTGTAAACCCATAGACCTGAATGTATAACAATGAAGGATTATGACCAGTATTTTACAAAATTACATAAAATATGTTGATTCATAAAGAAAAACAAGGTACACAGTTCAGCAAAAAACACAGCAGCAAGAAGCTGACAACTTGGCTAAAAATGTCAGAATACAACACAAGGCCAAGTCTATCCATTATTTATTGTGTACTTACTAGAATTCCATATTTCAGATGCATAAGATAAGAACTGATTACAAAATTATCTTTACTTTTGTCCACTGTGACAAACTAATTTGTTTTAATATGATAAATGTGCTGTTGCATAAATGCTTTACTCTTCATTGCAGTGCTGTTAAAAAACTCCATACACTGCATCCACAACTCAGGATGTCAATGCAATTCACAGTAAGCATAATAAATACCCTCTTCCCTTTCAAATATTAAGGTCACTACTTTCTAATTACTCAGCATAACCTTGAAGCAACTACTACAAATATCAACAATGCAAGCCTAATCACTTCAATAATCAAAACAAGTTTGTGGCAATTAAATTTGTAATATGATCAATGCAAAGAAAAAGTATGGAGGGAAAGGGGCAATCCTACTGATGTTCTCCCACAAGAATTAGAGCTAACATTTTAAAGAAAACTTAATGAATGGCTAAATTGCACTCAATGGTCAAAATAAAAATTTATTGAGTTTAAATAGTTGCTTTTATGGGAGACATTTTTACTCATCCTTTTCTATTTGATCAAAAGTAGTGAAGTGCTATTTTTGAGCTAATGACTTGCTAAACAAATAAATGCAATCCACACTGAAAAAAAACTTTCAAATACATACTTCAAGGTTCTACTACTTCTATATAAACTAGATAGCCCCTCAAAACTGTAACACATTGAACTGCAGTGCTCCAAACAATTAGTCTTCTAAAATACAGACTGTTTAGTGGTAAATCCTAAGGTGTGCAGACTGTAGCTTTATACATCAGCTATCTTAGGAAAGTTTAGTTACACAGGTGCATTAATCTTCAAAGTTGTGGACAAAACTCATTTGAATACAATAGCCTAAAATATATCTGTTTAAGCCAGTAAGTTTAAAGTACACAGATACCTCTGGCAGCATAATTACTTCTGTGTAAGGTAGCCACGGCCTATAATTTTGCAACAGCCTCCAAGTGTAGGTCTTCATAATTTATTCATGTTATGTCCCTTGTGCTAGCTTCCACCAAGATGAAATTGCTGGGTTTTTTTAAACTGAAGTGCTCTAGTTTAGTATCACATGAGAGAAGGTTCCATTTAAAAAGCATCCTTGTATGTTTGTGCAGTTTAAGTTAAAGAAATCCATCCCTACCTTTATAAGAAAAAAAAAAATTAAAATAAAATGCTACATTGAGCAGGGATCAGGAACAGTACCTGTAAACACTGTTATTACACTGCATCCATTATGGGAAAAGTAACTTTGACTAAAAAGCCACTCCGATCAGTTCAGAACTTCCGTGCTGGTTTTGAAATGGTGGCCTCTCTCTACAGGCTTTAAAATAAATTTGAAGCAGAGTCTAAAGCTGAACCAGAGTTCTCTTAGTTCCAAACTCTGCCAAACATTTACACATTTATGGACTGAAAAACGAAATTACTCTTGGTAAATCAAGATATAGTTCTATACATAAAAAGACATCACTGATGTCAAAGTTCAAACTTCCAGTGAAAGATTAAGCAAACCTGATAGTTCCCATCAAGTTTACTACTACTGCATAAAGTACCCACTCTTTAGTTTTCCACAGTCATTCTGAGTGAAGGGCAGTATGTTGGTGAAGAGTATGGGTATTTATAAAACCATTTGTCTCATTTGCAGATAGACTGCTGAAGTCAGCCACTGAAACAGCCATTTTGGCACTAGCAATATGGTGTGTGTGGTTCTCAAAGTCCACACCAAGGTTATTTACAGAGACATCATTCATGAAGGATTCTGGGACAGCAATTCCCATTTTCAGTCTCTTTGCAGGTCTTTCTGTCTCCTCACTGCACATGTTCCCTGGGTTTAACTCCGAGTGATAAAAGCCAGTCTCAAATAAATTAAAACAATCATTTTCACCACTGCTAGGCAAGTTAAGCAATTCTTCTGTTCCAACAGGCACATGATTAACTACCGGTGCTCGGGGTAAGCTGTCCATAGGAGGGAAGGCATCATCCAGGCAGTTCACAGACGAAGTGTGACAGACTGTAGCTACAGTGTTTGTCAGTGCTGGAAAACAGATGAACATAAAATGTAAATGAAATAGTTGTTTATATAGTTACAACAAAAAGTTTGTGGGTTTTCTTTGGTTTTTTTCCTTTGATTTACCTGTCAACTCATTGGCAGTGATAGAGTTCAGAATGCTTAGCTGTTGATCAGGAATACTTTCTGTTCGAGTATTAGATGTTAAGGCTGAAGAATGTACTGCTCCACCAAGAGCTTCTGCTTCATCTACCAAACGATCCATGTAGTCCCTTTAAGAATATGGCGTTCATAATAGGTTAACAGGAAAACAAGGCCTAAAAATGATGATGGATTTATTCTCAGTTGCCATAGCCACTGCAGCTTTACACTGCAATGATGGGAAGAAAACCTTATCTTTTACATTTACAATTTGCAACAGAAAACATATTCCAGGGACATTTTACTTACGTAACTCCAGGATGATGGTTATACCTCTTCTTTCCAAATCTTGTTTGCTGAGCAAAGTAATCATAACGTTCTGACTTTTTCCACATGTAATAGAAAGCCACACACTCAGCAACTGTTCTGGTTCTTACCTAAAAGAAGGCAAGAAGAATTGACAAGATAAATGCAAAGCATTATGTTTTGTCATCTCCCCAGTCCCCATATTCCTGCAATATTGTCCCTTTTACTGTTCTAGTATCTGTAACAAACAAATTAAATCAGAAGATCTGAAAAAGAGATCTAGAGTTTTAAATTTCTTTACCGAGAGGGTGGTCAAACACTGGAATGGGCTTCCTAGAGAGGTGGTCGATGCCTCAGCGTGTCATTGTTTAAGAGGCATTTGGACAATTCCCTTAGAAACATGCTGGAACTTTTGGCAAGCCATGAAGCGGTCAAACAGTTGGACTAGATGATCGTTGTAGGTCCCATCCAACTGAAACAGTATATTCTATTCTAAATAATTACTACATCTGTTCTATTGTATGCATTATTGTTGTTTAGGTTTGGTTTTTTAAACTAGACTGAAACTGTATCTACATCTGAAGCATTTAAATTCATAACTTACATAGCAATTTTTTAAACTATGGGACAGACTCTGTTAAGAAGTAAAATACTAAGCAACTGAATGACCCAACAGAAGTGAAGCAGAAAAGACATTGGGTACTTGGAAAATTCTGGTCCATAGTGACAGACCAACTCATTAGCTTCGTAGCACTTTGGAAAAAAAGATTTTGAAATTATTTATTTGTATCGCTGGTGAATTACTGTTTACGGGTAAGGTCCATTTAAAAATTGAACCCCCCAGATATTTAGCATTGGACAGGTTAAGCTAAGTGTTGAACGGGATTAACTGACTTGTTGAACAGCAACCACAACCCTATAAAGTTTACCTGAAATACAACAAAAGCACCAGTCTCCTAAAGAAAAGACTTGTTGTGGTTTAACCCCCACCAGCAACTAAGCACTGCAGAGCTGCTTGCTCACTTCCCCCATCCAGTGGGATGGGGGGGGAAGAATTAGAAGGGCAAAAGTGAGAAAACTCGTGGGTTGAGATAAAGACAGTTTACTAATTTAAAAAAAAATTGCTAAAAAAGAGAAAAATAAAACCCAAGAAAAACAAGCAATGCATAAAAACCCAACTGCTCACCATCAACGAATTGATGCCCAGCCAGTTCTCAAGCCACAGCAGCCCCCACCCACCAACCTTCACCCCCCAGTTTTATTATGAGCAGGATGTCATATGGTCTGGAACACCCCCCTGTTAGTAGGGGTCAGCTGTCCCAGCTGTGTCCCCTCCCAACTCCTTGTGCACCCCCAGCCTCCTCACTGGCAGGATAGTCTGAGGAGAAATGGCTTAGACTCTACATAAGCTCTGCTCAGCAATAACTAAAACATTAGTGTCTTATCAACACTTTCCAGCACAAGTCCAAAGCATAGCCCATACTAGCTACTATAAAGAAAATTAACTCTATCCCAGTCACAACCAGTATGAAACCTCAAGGTGGTATCAAAACATACAGGACATGTACAGAAAATTTGGAAACACACATACTGGTAACTGTACCAAATGGTACGTTTACTTAATAAAAAAAAAAGCCCAATTCCTAATCTTCAGGCACAGGGGAGTTAATCAGAAGCAATTCAGATCAAGATTAGAACTCCTTTGTTGGTCAGAAACCAGAGTACTGATGGATGACTACACTTTCTGAGAACACAAAGAGCTAAGCCCGTTTCTGTAGAATTACATCTTCTGAGTGACAAAAATAATTAAAGATGTATTTTCCCCTCTCACAGACATGGTATGAAAATAATACACCTCTAGGAGAGGCAGACATTTAATCTAAATTTTAACATAAATGCATATATGGAAGCAATATCAACATGAGTTGATTTCAAAGATAATATGACTCATGTTGCAACACCTACTTTTCTAATGGCATCAAAGGCAAAATCAGCATGGAAACACCAAGCTGGTTTTAATATGTTGGCTCTTATTTCACTCTTGCATAGTTTCTGAAAAAGCATTGCTTTTACAAACATTCAGCATCATATCATCTACCAATTCTTCCATTTAACTGTAAAATACTAACCTTGTTTTTCTGTATGAGATGAAAGTCTTTCCCATAAATCAGAAGTGCATGTTCAAAGCTTCTGCATTCTTCTTCTGTCCATGCTGTCATCTCTTCTAGACAATTGCAAAAGTAGCATGATAAACTTATTTTCACTCACTAATCTTTGTGTTGCTAATGCCTGAACATCCAAACACACTCTAAAAAAAATGCAACAGTTCAGTTATTTTGACCCATGTTCTTTCCTCTAATGTAAAGATATCCTACCTGAAATCTAGTATTCCTGCTTATAAAGACTCATAAAAGAGTCTGATTACTGAAGTATTTCACCCTGGAGGGCAAAGGACATTCAAAAGACTTTATTTGTTATTTCTTAGGAAGTTTGTCATAAAAGAAAACCCCAAGATTTGTTAACATCATTATTTTTCTGAATATTCCTTCTTGCATCAGATACAAACAGTGACTGTTGGAACAAAAGAGTGAAGGAACAACCTCTGACTTTTTAAAGACAGAAGTGAATTTTAGCTTCACAAACAAAACAAAACACACTACAAAGGAATAAAAGCTTTAAAACAAAGTAGCTCAAACTATTTGAGTAGGTCAGTTTTGTCTCAAGTATTGTTGCTTCCCTATCTTGATTATGGCTTTGTGTCTATATATAATAAAGGAGGGATATTTCAGGCATCTTACATTCATAGTAGTGATCTGGTTAGTTGTCATTTAAAGCCAATGAGGGTGGAGAACAAAAACCAACCAACAATCACATTTCAAAGCATTTCTGGAAGCAGACACTGGAACAAAGACCTTGCTCCTTTCAGATGAAAGTGATAATCATTCCACTACAAGTCCATTAATTTTGTACTCCTTACTACAGAATTCTCAAGCTTCAAAGAGGCGATCTGCATGTAAAGTCTCACTGTTATGAAATTATCTTGGGAGATGTAGATTTTCAATGCATATTGAGAATAGCAGTGAACTTCAGTGGGTATAGATCATTGCACAATGATTATTCTAAGAGACAGGCATCAACAGTATTATCATCCTCTACCATTTTTAATGAGGATATAAACCCCATCTGACTTGGGGCCTGGGAGAAGATGAGCACTAGTCCTTAAGACAGAATTTGGGTCTCCGACACACAATCTCTCATAAAAGAGCTTTCTGAAACACTGCTCTGATAGTCCTTATTGTTCCCTTCACTTTTATCTTCAATACTTAAGCTTTCAGAGTACCTAACTCAGAAACATTCAATTTCCCCTTGGATTCAGGTCTGAGTAAGGAATGTCTGCCAGAATACAAACTTATACCAGGGCTCATAGGCCATTTCTGCTTTATGGAACATGTGTCAAACTACAGGACAAATAACTCTTTGCTAAATTATGCACTGATTTTTATTTAAGGGAATAATAAAGTTAGGGACAAACAAAATTGTTTTCCACTGTAAACTCAAGCAAAACTCTCCACACTCTACCATAGACCTAGACGATTATACAGTAGAACAAAGTTTAGGGTTGACATAGCACAATGTTAGCACAGTGATGAAGAGTGGGGCTCACTCATATTATCAGCTATGTTCTGATTCTTGTATAAATGTCATTAGTTTATAATTGATCATTATCTCAAAACGGTACTGTAATGTGAGGGAGAACTGCCTTATGGGAGCAAAATTAGAACTCCCCCCCTTCTCCTTCGTCTGTATCATTCTTAAAATCAAAAAAAAAATGGAAAAAAGAAGGAAAGAAAAGATGTAAAATTTGATCCTGCAACCTTTATAGAAATTGCAAACTTCTCTAGCAGACATCTCCATCTGACCAACAGTCAGATTATACCTAATCTGAGTTATATACCTAATGGGAATTATTGAAAAACATCTGAAGGACAACACAGTCATCAATCACAGCCATCATGGCCAGCACAGCTTCATGAGAGGAAAGTCCTGCTTATCAAATCTGATTTCCTTTTATGACAAGGTTACCCACCTAGTTGATCAAAGGAAGCCAATTGATATAATCTTTTTTGATTCCATAAAGCTTCTGATACTCTCTCCCAAGATCCTTCTGAACAAAATGTCCAGCCCACAGCTGGATAAACATGTAATGCGATGAGTGAGCAACTGGCTCATGGTTGGGCACAAAGTGTTATAGTGAATGGGGTGTCATCAGACTGGCCACCTGCCACTAGTGGGGTTCCACAGGGCTCCATCTTAGGCCCTGTGCTCTTCAACACCTTCATTAATGACTTGGACACAGGACTGGAGGGGATGCTAAGTAAGTTTGCAGATGATACAAAACTGTGAGGAGCTGCTGACTCCCTTGAGGGCAGAAAGGCCCTGCAGAGAGACCTTGACCAATTAGAGGACTGGGCAATCACCAACCGTATCAAATTCAACAAGGGCAAGTCCTGGAATGTGCACCTGGGATGGGGCAACCCTGGATGTACGGACAGACTGGGGAATGAGATGCTGGAAAGCAGTGCTGCGGAAAGGGACTTGCAGGTCCTGGTCGATGGCAAGTTGAATATGAGTCAGCAGTGCCCTGGCAGCCAGGAGGGCCAACTGTGTCCTGGAGTGCATCAGGCACAGCATTGCCAGCCAGTCAAAGGGAGGTGATTGTCTCAGTCTGCTCTGCACTGGGGTGGCCTCACCTCGAGTCCTGGGGACAGTTTTGGGCACCACAATATAAGAAAGATATAAAGCTATTAGAGAGTGTCCAAAGGAGATCAACAAAGATGGTGAAGGGCCTTGAGGGAAGCCGTATGAGGAACAGCTGAGGTCACTTGGCTTGTTCAGCCTGGAGAAGAGGAGACTGAGGTCAGACCTCATTGCAGTCTACAACTTCTTTGTGAGGGGAAGAGGAGGGGAAGGTAGTGATCTCTTTTCTGGTGACCAGTGACAGAACCCAAGGGAATGGTCTGAAGTTGTATCAGGGGAGGTCTGGGCTGGATATTAGGAAAAGGTTCTTCACCCAGAGGGTGGTTGGGCCCTGGAACAGGCTCCCGAGGGAATGCTCAAGGCCCCAAGGCTGCCAGAACTCAAGGAGCATTTGGTTGGATTTTTGGGATGTCCTGTGCAGGGCCAGGAGTTGGACTTTGATGATCCTTGTGGGTCTCTTCCAATTCAGCATATTCTATGATTCTATGAGTAATCTGTGCTAAAGACATCATGGAAAGGGATGTGCTTATTAATCTGAATCTTACTCATGTGTTTTCTACCCCCTCCAAAGACATATTTCTTAAAAAGCAGATACTCTCTCTTACCCTGAGATGCCTTTCCATTTGAGCAGTATCTCTCAGTTGCTTCTTTAACATTATGGCTACTTTTGAGTAGTTCATATAGTGCCTATAAAATAGAAGTAGTCTTTAGAAAGAGTTAAAATTTCCAAATATCCTATATAAATTTCTGAAACAAGCCTTTCAGTGAACATATCTAATGTAAAAAGAGGTTATATCTTTATACAGGATGAAAATGTTAAAATAATCAAAAGCAAAACCATCCAAATATTAAGGCAAGGTTTAATTAAGCAAATGTAAAATATTATATGCAATAATTAGAAAAGCTGTATTTGTCAACATCATGCCAATTTGAAACATCATAGATCACACTGCCAACATTCAAATACTCAATTTTAAGCATGTGTTTAAAATTACAAATAAGATCCTGACCCCAGTAGCATCCAATTAAAAAAATATTGCTGCCTTTATAATACAAGGCAGAGAAAGAGAACACATTAATTACAAAGCAATGTGCCACAAATGGAACAGGATATAAAATATACTTGTTCATTGTCACGTGTATGTAGTCCTTCAGGAATTCTGCCAATCATATTTTCATTTCCTGCTCTTAAGGAGGTTTCAAAAAGGTATTCTTTAACTTTATTTTCTGAGATGACATCAGGTTTCCAAAGTAAATGGTCTTCATTTTCATAGGCTGTTAAAACAGAATTAATTTATGGCAAGTGTGACACTTTTAAGGCTAGAACATAAAAGGCTATTTCACAAAGAACAGGAATACAGAAGTAATAAAATCAAGCACTGTCATGACACTTTCAAATTGCAGCTCATTTTTTCCCCAAAAAGCCTTAGTTTAGAGAGACTGCAGTGTAGTATGGTGAAGAGATTCAGATTCCATGAGGATGAGATAAGGGACTGGCTCTTGAGAAAGAATCTCTACAGAGGAGCAGGTTGTTGACAGGTAGATGATTCAAGTCAAATTATGCATATATATTAATCTTAATATAAAAAAAACTAGCAAAACCACTCTGTTTTATTCAGATGTTTACAACAAATAAGCTATAGTTTACAATAAAAAGTGCACTTTAAAATTTCAAATACTGCATATAAAATTAAAAAAAAAAGAGGTGGCAGCTAACGGGTAATTTTCAAATAAATTTGCTAAAACTTACTTAGCAGAATGGAAATCTAGGTCTAAATGTGGTAATTTCTTTTAGCATTCACTAACAACTGAATGCTGTTATCAACTATTTTACAAGCAATCAGGATGTATAGTCCTCCTTCATAGTATACTGAAATCATATATGCACCTCTTAAGTAGCTTATTTGAAATATATTGGAAATATTCAAGAGTTGGCCTGAACCCTTGTTTATGCACACACACATTTAAACTCTAGATTAAACTAAATCCTTTACTCTGATCAATAGATGTGTTTACACATAATGCTTTATGTACTCTCTTGGCAATATAAATTAGAGTTATTAAATTCTAACACACCCAAGTATAATGGCAGTTCCACTAGAAGAGATGAAGAAGATTCTCAAATCTCTCATATAACTGCAGGAAAGAATATTAAGCTAAAATGAAGAATAAAATTGCATCTCCTCCTAAAGTTCTGTTATGACTTAAGAACACTGAAAGCTTTCAAACAGACATGTTACAAGTGTAAGGTTTATAGAAGAGCAGAACTGCTTTCTAGCACAATTTCAGTACCTGGGACTTCACAGCAGAAATATAAGCCCCTGTTTGCCATCACAAGCTCTTCAGGAAGTACAAAAGAGGCTTCTACAGAATCTTCCACCCTCTCCAAGCATTGCTGAGCTCAGCTTCAATCTCCATTATCAACCAAGACAACCCAACACTTTTCTCTGGAATCCATACCTGATATTCTCAAGAGGAACTCCTCAGGCTCTACTATCTGGGAGACCTCTTTGCTCCTGGCTATGCCACTGAACAATACTCTCTCTGGTTCTCTCTTGCACCAGCTTGTTCCAGAGAAAGTTGTCAGATTAATGCGTTCCTGATCATCCTCTGGTTGTTGGCCCTTCTCTAGTTCTTGACCAAGGAGAAGTCAAGATGTGTAAATAGTAAAAGGACTATTCAGATAAAACTGATTTTCACTCTTCTATTTGTTACAACCAGTAAGCATCATGCTCAAATCATAGAAAATAGAAAACTTCCATAGATTTCTTAAGCAACACAAGAGATGTTAATTTGCTAATGCTTCCAGCCAGTGAAGGTTTCTAAAAGTTCCATATAAAACTCTATTAAATAAAGTTATTTCTTCTACTTTGGCACAATTTCAGTTTTTAACCTAAATTTACACAGCAATACCATCATACTTAAAACATCTTTTTTTTTTTTTAAAGACAAGGTATATTGAGATCTACATCTACTCATGCTATGGAAAATTCAAATAGTCCATTGCTTTGTTTTTCATAACCATTTTGTAACCCACACTGTCATACTTGCTAAAAAAGAAGCAAAGAAAAATACTGAAGATCTTCAATGCAAACTTACATGTTCATAGCCCAGTTATGATATCCTGATGAAAATATTTACTTCTTGACCCAGTTTGTTGCCTCCTAATATTGCTAGATACTTCAGAATTAACACTGTAACCCACCCTCCTATGTCTTCTCAGAAATATTCTCTCAAAGTTGTAGAATCACACTTTTAAGATATAATTATGTGGTTGTATTACTTCAGTTGACTAGGGGTTTTTTGGTTGGTTGGTTTGGTTTTTTAACTAAGTCATAGAATTTATCTTATAAATTTAAATAACATTTTCCCATCAGCTGCTATGTATAAATATAAGTACTAAAACAGAATAACTTACCCTTTTCATTATTACTGTATCTGCCAAGGTAAGGTGGAATTTCAGCCTGATACTGTAAACCAACCTTTATTTCCTGAAGATGTAACAAAAATCATAAGGGTATTAATATTCTGTGCATGGAAGTATTACAAAGTCCATTAACATGGGATTTTGCAGATAATTTCAGAATTAAGGTACTATTTTAGATATGTACTATAAATTTTAATGCATTTTTTAAAGTTTTCTTAACTTTTTCTTTTTCTTAAGATATAGTTATTACCTTTCTCAAATCTTCAGATGAATTAACATTGTCTGCCTCTATGTCTTCACCATCTGATTCCTTATCTCCATCACACGTAGTGTTTGCTTCAGACACAAATAAGTTGGCTTTAGCTAGGAAGAATTTTCAGTTCAAACACAGATATTCTTTACTTTTCAAAGGAGCCCTGCTTTTATTCTGGAAGACACTCATCACCAGTCTGTTGATCTACATTTCTATCAAACTAGAATGAAGTCAGAAAGCATTGGTGCTTGCATATTGCAGAACTGAAACATTTACCATTATTGCAACTAAGACAATATTTCTAACAGTCAAAAGGAAATTAGATCATTTTTCTTCATTGATTTTCTTCAATAAATGCTTACACCTTATAGAAAAGTTATGAGAAAAACAGAAAACTTCCAGGGCTATGACTTAGCCATGGGTTAATCACAAAGAAAGTTGAAGGTAAGTCTTTATTACCTACTGAAGCCTTTCATCTGAAGTTTTAATTGACATTCAAAACATTCCTTTAAACAAGGCTACCTCAGCAAGAACTAAAGATATAGTACATATACAGGAAACAGATTAAGCAAAAGATAACAAAAGACTGCTTACTCCTCTTAAATATTTTTTTCCTTAGGAAGAAATACAGTAGAGCACTCCAAGTAATTGAAATACAGTACTCCACAGAATAACTCATATTTTAGAATTTGGAACTCTGTGGTTCTGGGTTCTGAAGTAATTATATTTTTTTATTTTATCCCCAGCAGAATGGAATCTATAGTTCTGATAAGAGCTATTACATATTCTCAACTTTCAGTAATAACATGTTCATAAATAGGGTTTTAATTTTAGCTTCATCACAACTAAATAGAATCGTCAACATCAAAGACAATATCCAATATGATAGACTGAGGCTCCTCTTCTGTAGTCGTTACTAGAATCACCAGTCTATCTCTTTTTGCTGTTAGAAAGAGGCAAGAAGCTAACATGAATGTGTGAAACAGCAATATGCCTGGATAATAATATGCAATTACTTTTTCCAATGAATCCAAATTTAACAAAATGGCCTGTATTAAACATGTTTATCTTAAAATTGAATGTTATTTTAAGAGAAATGGACAGGGATGAGAAAAAAAAAAGATGGAACTGTCAACAGCACAGAAAACTGACATTTCCCTCACTGACATGGTGGATATTTGATGTTAAAATGCCCAATCAAAAGTTCTAATAGAGAAAGAGCAACATTCTGATAGAAAAACCACAATAGCTGAAAGCAAAGATGACTGTTTCTTAATCCTGAGTAAAATGAAGGAGCTAATAATTCTTTCCATAAAGTTGCCACACTTTCAGTGTCATATTCATTAACAGTTCACAAGCAATGTTTAAGTGCCAGCAAGATTGGGGTTTGCTTAAAAAATTATAATGCCCTTTTTTAAAGTTTTTTATATCTCTCTCAAAAATGCCTTACATTACACAATCAGCAGCATGCAAAGGGCTACAATTGCTGATGATTGAGACAGCACGTGCCCTTTATCATCCCCTTTCTCTAGAGGGATGAAGTTCCCCAGGAAAAGGTCAAAATACTTGCCAAATTAAAATTGTGATAAAAATCCTCCACACTGTCTATTGCAGTTCATTTGTTCACTGGTGTACTAGAGTTAGAGCAATGAGGAATATCTTGTCAAGGTTGGATAATTGAACCAATGGTTCTTGGATCTTTCCCATAATAGTTCCATGGGTAGTGAAATTTTGGTGGTCATGGGTTCATAGGCCCCATCCCATATAAAAACACGGGCTCCTGAACTCCTATGGAAAATCATTGAATATGTGAAGGGAAATAATCACAAAGAAACCAAATTCCAGTTCACATCCATAGGCTGAATAGAGGAGTCACTGGCTTAAAAGTAGCAGCAAAAATTTTAGTAGAGAAACACTAATTTAAAAGAACAGGTTACATATTCATGCCATTCACCAATGCACAGAAAATTACCAAGTGTTCCTTGACACAAATTAACTATTAATTATGAAAAGCTACTGTATTTTTAGAAAAATTGTGCTTGTGCTTTGAGCACCATATTAAATATAGATCTTTTAGGTAATCAATAATACCAACCAAAGACAATATTCATGTACAACATCCTGCAAAGCACTGTTTCTCAATCCCACTCTGCAATTCTGATATTTTAAACTAGAAAGCTATATAGTTTATAATATATGGTAAGACGTTATGAGTACTATTATAAAATTAGGTTTCCTACATCTTAATGGCCGAGGAAAGAAGTCAGTAGCCTCATGTGAAGTAACTGATGGCGTCAAGTCATCAGCAGAGGACTGCGTTTCTTCATCATCACCTGACAAGAGGTCTTTAGCTATTTCCTCCTGTATCATTAAAATAAAAAAACCCATAACTTCAGACAGACTATTAAATATAAACTGGTGAGCATTTAGATTCAGCAAATTGTAAGTCTCATTAATTAAAATGAATTATTTTACCATAAGGAATTTTAGCAGACTGTTAACTATTAAAAAGCTAATCCACTCCTAATTCTCAAAACAAATATAACCATTCATTTCAGAGTTGAACACGGAGGTTTATTTCCCCCTAGTCTTCTATTAAAATAAATGCACAAGTAGTAACCCCTGCATGCATCAAATCTCAGATGTTCATCCAACTGCTTTAAAATAAAAAAGTGAGTGGAAACATTTTAAATTCTGTCATTCTTTACATCACAGATACCCCTTAAATTCGGGGGGGGGGGGGGTGGGTCTAATGGGTGAACAAACAAAAACTCAAACCAAAAGCCAGGCACTTTCATAGATTTTTTCTGAGAAGAATTACAGATAACTGACAAAAGATAATAAAGTGGGGGGGTGGGGGGCAAGAACACGCCTCCTCCACTACCAGACATGCTTGAGCCCCTCTATAGTGATTAGGGAGGCAAAGAACTGTATTAGACAAGAAGCCAAGTACATTTCTGTAGCCTCAACACAATGGTGACTCCTAATGAGAATCAGATGTGCAAAGCCATCATTATACTATACTTTCTGTGGAGTTTATAATTTCATCATACGTATGGAAATTAAAAAAAAAAAAGACATGTACTTACTACCTACAGATTTTATAATACAGACTACTAGTTTCATGCCTTATAGCCAACAATCAGATTCATCTCAGAATTCAAAGTTAGCCTGTGAATCATAAAAACTGTAGTTTTGTGTTTCTATATTCAACAATGCAATACATATAGTAATTGCACAGAAAACAATCTCTCACCCCCCAAAGATGAGATTTTTTATAAATTATATGCATTTGAAAGAAACATTCCAAAGCACCCAGTAGTGCACTTTTCAAGTTATCCACAAATGTTTGATACATGACATGTATGTTTGAAGCCAGAATTATTATTTCTGGACATTGCATACATTAAAATAAAATACAGAAATTTTCAGAAAAAAATCCCACTTCTATAAAATAAAAAAAAATCTATTTAAAGTTCTCTGAATGTGTTTTAGAAGAACCACTACCTTATTCATTTCTCAATTGTAATAATATAATGCCACTAAAGTTGCTATGCATTTGTGTGATAATTATAATTAAATCCAGATCCTAAATATCTTTGAAAAAGAATTAAAAAGTACAATCACAGAATCATTTATGTTGGAAAAGACCTTTAAGGTCATTGAGTCCAACCATAAAGCTAACACTGCCAAGTCCACCACTAGTACAGTAACTCTTAATTGTATGTTGAAATTGACAAAGATATGTATTTCATAACATCAAGAGACAGTGAAACATAAGGTCACACGGATTTCTACTTTTAAACTGTAATACAGGGGAAAACAGTTCTGACTTACTTTATCTAGAGTCATATCTGGAAGCTCATCTGCAAGTTCGCTTGGAGAGCTATCCACACTGGAACCAGCCATAACTGGAATTGTGGGTTCATAGCCATAAAATGCCAGCAAATCTTCCAACGGCATGTTTCCTTCCTAATACAAGAAGATTTACAAACATTTCAACATATTGCCAAATACTTGTAAACAGTTCAGACCTAAAAGGATAAGACGTATTTTGAAAAACAAAAGTAAAAAACAAACAAGAAAAATTTAATTGAAAGCAGGAATCTTGATTAAAAATCTAAAATATTTTCAGGCATGAGACTGAAATAATTCATAACTGTGTCTCTTGGCAATATAATGAAGTCACATTAAACTATTGAAGAAAACCATTTAGTGGATGAAACTAAAGAGTAATTATTAAAAATTTGCTCCTTATCTGATTCACACTGTAGAACATGATTTGCCTATATTTCTTCAAGACAGAAGATAGACTAGGAACATTAACAACGCCCTTACAAGAAATGCAGAAAAACCTGAAAACTTTAGTCCTATATAGTTACAGCTGCAAAGTGTCTAAAACACCACAGAAATAAATCAATGTAGCAATCTTTTATCCCTCCTTTCCATCTTCTGCACAATACATTTTATAATTACTGTAGAGAAGGTGGTGTAGTTTAACCCCAAGCAGTAACTAAGTACCACACAGCTACTCACTCACTCCTCCCCAGTGTGGACATGAGAATTGAAATGGTAAAAGTGAGAAAGAAACTCATGAGTTGAGATAGTCTAATCTTTAAAAATAAACTTTTTTTTTTTTTAATGCAAGGAAAATAGGAGAAAAAAGAACCACAACAAGACAAAGAAAGAGGTATATAAAACCCAAGAAAGACAAATAATCCAAATGAAAACAATTGCTTACCACCAACTGATGCCCAGCTAGTCCCAGAGCAGTGGCTTCCCACCACCATTCAGCCACTTGGCTTGTTTGATCATGGCATACATTTAACATTCATGGATAACCTCTACAGTGGCATTAAGTCAAGTCGACCTCTCAATCATGAGCCCATTTGTATGCTGCATCCCTTCCTATATATCCTGATGTGCCATGGGCCCATCAAGCTATAAATAGGTCACCCTTCTGTTCCCAGTCCAGATCCACCTGAGTCACTTCAATCCCAGCAGCCTGATCCACCTGCTTATTGTTTCAATGTTCTTCAGTGGCCTGACTCTTGAGTACATGAGCATCTACATGACATAGCTTCACAACCAGGTTCTCTGCCCAAGCAGCAATATCTTGCCACAATGCAGCAGCCCAGATGGGTTTACCTCTGCACTGCCAGTTATCCTGCTTCCGTCATTGCAACCACCCCCACAGGGCATTTGCCACCATCCCTGAGTCAGTGCAGAGATAAAAGTATTGGCCATTTTTCTTGTTCAGCAATATTTGTAGCCAGCTGGATGGCTTTCACCTCTGCAAACTGACTCGATTCACCTTCTCCTTCAGCAGTTTCCACAACTTGTCATGTAGGACTCCACATGGCAGCTTTCCAACTTTGATGTTTTCCTACAATATGACAGGATCCATCTGTAAACAGGGCATATTGCTTTTTATTTTCTGGTAGTTTACTATATAGTGGAGACTCTTGAGCCCGAGTCATCTCCTTTGGCAACACTGAAGTTTTGACCAGTTCACAATCACTTTTAGAATTCCTGGGTGGTTGGGGTTTCTCATTCAAACCCACTGTATAATCAGTGCAACCCACTTACTCCACGTAGCATCAGTTGCATGATGTGTAAAGGGGACCCTGCCTTTGAACATCCAGCCCAACACAGGAAATTGAGGTGCCAAAAGGAGCTGTGCGTCAGTACCAACTACTTCTGAAGCTGCTTGAACTCCTTCATATACTGCTAATATTTCTTTTTGAGGCTGCCTCTTCTGATTTGCTCTCCTGCTCCCTGTTAGAAGCTTCTTCATCTCTTACTAAACGAGTTGACTTCTGCTTCCATTGTTTCTGCCTCTTTGGAATAGCCAGGGCATCTTTTTCTTTCCCCCCATATATTCTATCACTTCATCAGGATTCCACACTTGTTCAGGAGTGAAGTTTCAGACCATTGGAGGTGTAAACCTTTCTAGACACCTGTTCATATTGTCCCATATACATGCCTTGCCACTCATAACCACACTGCTGCAGGGCCTGGGTCTTATTCCTAAATAGCTTCTTAACCTCATGAAAAGCTGAAGTAATATTCCTAAGAAATACAAATAGAAGCATTTAGACTACTGAAGGATGTTCAAGATACTGAAGAGTTATTGTAACAAGGGAGAAAACATGACAAAAGGTGGTGGTGAAGGTGCCATTCTGTATTACCTCCACAAAAAAAAATCTCTCAGAGGAAGAAGTATAATTGTTAATCGTCTCCATGAGATGGTACCTGAAGTACATTAATCTTCAGTACAGAGCCCAAATACCAGATTAAGCTCAAGGCCAGTATTTTAATAATATATCTTGCAGGCAAAACATCACTAAGCACTACAGAGCATTAGCAAACTGCAAAATCCAATGCCAATCTTGAACACATACAGCAAAAAAAGAGAGGATGGCATAGATCAGACAAGCTAATGTCAAGAACAGATAAATCAATATAATGACCAGCAAATGTTAACAGATGTAAATTCTTCCTAATGTTATAGTCAAATCTGTTAACTCAAACCATTTGTGCCCTGTTGTGTCTTAACCCTGGATGGCAACTAAACACTACAGAGCTGCTCCCTCCCTCCCTCCTCCATGGGATGGGGGGAAGAGAATTGGATAAGTGAAAAAGAAACTTGTGTGTTAAAATAAAGACAGTTTAATGTTTAAAAAGACATAATTTTTTTTTTAATTGTAAGGAAAAGAAAAAAATAAAAAGAGGGGGGAAGTAAAACCCAAGAAACACAAGTTATCCAAATGAAAACAATTGCTCACCATGAACTGACCAATGCCCAGCCAGTCCCTGAGCAGCAGGGCAGTGTGAGAAGCAGAAAAGGCCTTGGCTCTGTGTAAGCTTTGTTCCGCAATAACTACATCAGTGTGTTATCAACACTGTTTAAGCACAAATCCAAAGCATAGCCCCATACTAATTACTAGCAAGAAAATTAACTCTCCCAGACAAGACCAGTACAGAAAGTAATAGGAGAAAAACAGCTAATGATACAGAAGCAAAAATCAAGAGAAAGGCTTAGTTTAGAACTTCTTTTTTCCAACAGCTTTTGATCAAACTATTTTACTAAATATCATCATACTTGCATCCTAACACATTTAATAAAACAAACTGTGGAAATTTTCTTTAGTTACCTGATTCAAGTTATCAAATAATTAGGAATACTTTCTAATAATTTATACCTTTAAAAGTTATATTACCTTAAAAAATTTCTTGTTGAACTTATACACTGATTAAGCTACTTGTTTTCTTTAATCAACTAAGGTCTTAGTCCTGCAAAGACTTTTCACAATGGATAAATGCAAATTCATGTCCAAGTCTTTCCAGGATTGGGACATAAAGTACTAAAGTATTTGAGTGGCTCTCAGTTCTTTTTCCTTATTTTATAGAAGCAATAAGATAATTTTGTGGAGTACCAACTCCATTTCAACCACCAGACTTGCAAGCTGCTTTGCTATTATAATTGCAAGTTCATAATTAGCAAAAATATAACTGTAAAAGGTAGCAAGGCAAAACCAAAACAAACAAAAACCCCAGAAGTTAAGAAAATTTGTTTTTAAATGGACTACAAAAGCACAGCCTCCTATTTAATGCTAAAAATTACACTGGAAGTCTGTTGATCAAAATCTGCAGTTATGCTGAGTGGTGTAAGTGGGTCACTGAATGGTAATGCAAGCAGCATCAGTTTCTGGCTATTTAGCATTCAGCAGGCATTTAAAATGGGTGATGCACTGACACAGATGAACAAAATGTAGAAACAGAAAAAACATGTAATTAAAGAATGCAAAAAGGAATAGGAAAAGCCAAGGAGCACACTGGTTATTTTGTACACCCAGCAAATGCCAAACTGATGAAACTGAGATACAGAACTACAATTTATGTAGCAAATGAATGTGAAAAATGTGTAAAACAGGACTGCGCTTCCAGATTGGAAAACCAAAATCTGACCAACAGAATGAAACACAGCTAGCTGTCACTTAAGGTACAATTGAAATTTATTTCCAACTTATAAAACTTAGAAGTGACAAGTGATATTAGATAATAAGACTTTAAAATTTGCTTCAGTAATTTCTTTTCCAAAGTGAAGAAGTTATTAAATGAAAAAGACCAATCTGAACTTAACACTAATAACTTTGAGAAGCTAATGTCAGCCTTTTTGTGAGGAAGCACTGCTACATCCTAACCAAACCTGATATTTTTTTCTTTAAAAAAAAAAAACAACTCCAAAGGTATTTTGCAGAAAATTGCACTATGCTATACAAACTAAAGAACAGGTTGAGTGTTGTCTTCACTAAAAAGCTACAACATATATGGACATTTAGGAGAGAGCAAGTCACTCTTACCTTTTCTAAATCTTCAATTTCAGAGCTGAAATTTTTGTTTTCTTCCATCATTTCCTCCTCTTCATCAAGAGTTCGTTCATCATCATAATCATGTACCAGCATTTCAGCAGAAGGGTCAAAGTCATGATCCTCAGAGGATAAAGAGCCAACTATCAAAAAACCCTAATTTGAGTATTTTTTTTTTCTATACCAACATATGAAATTACAACACAGAAAAAAATAAGGTTGCATGAGTCTTTACATACATAGTTAGAACTCTCAGTGGAATAAATGGAACAAATTCTTAACTACCTGACAAATTCAACTATTTTAGCTGGCCTTCCCTTTTTGTATTGTAATAGGTGCAGTTTTCTCTCTTGCAGTATAGAGTACTTGGGAAAAGTATCTAAACTACTGAAACAAAGTTTCAGAAAGTACAATAACAAATTAATATTTTACTGAATAAAAGCTTGTTTTAAAGATCCTGGAAATCATCATTAAAGTATAAGATCCACATGTCACAAGATTTCAGATGCTGCAAGACACTGATTTATAGACTCAGATTCTATTTATATTATTTTTATGGTAACTAGCATAGCTTTTTACTGATTAACAGCTAACTTAGGTTGCAAACCAGTTTCCTAACAACAGCAAAATAAGCAGCAAGACTCACTTCAGATTAGTCTCACGGATGAGATCTTTTATTAAAACTAATTTAATTCTTAGTAATTGATCTAAAAGAGAACAAACATAGCAGTTTCAAGAAATATAGAGGGAAATATACCAGAAATAACAAAACATTTCTAATGGATCACAGTAATTAACAAGTCATTATGACAGCTCTGTGGTCCAACAGACACTTTTTCATTACCCAAGAGGATACTCATAAGTCATAAAAAAGTACTGTTGTTATTTTGAGTGCATTTGTTAGAAAGCACTATATTCAACAAGTTTTTAAGATGCAAATATTCTGTACAGCAATGTCAGTGTTCTACAATGAAAATTACTGAAATGCAGGGTTGTTTTGTTTTTTAGTGTTCACTTTGTTAAGACTTTCATGATGGAGGAAAAAACCAGACTAGGATATTTCTCTTTCACCCCTGGTTTCCCCTTCTAGTTCTTACATACTAGAGCTCAGCCAGTGCCAAGAGCAGGTACACAGAAGCAAATGCATTTCCCAAATATTTTTCAGGAGTAGCCCTGCTGATGTTAAATAGGCTTCCTTGTGTAAATATTCCAAAGAACCTTAACAGTAGTTAAAACCTTAATTAAATATCATTATGATTTAAAATGTTTTCTGATATTATCAAGAAATCAAAAATTTACACAACCCTGCAATTAGCAGCAGCAGAAGTGATCTCTCTCCAGGCTACATGGCTTTACTGAGATGCTGTCTTAAAAATACTAGAAAACTTTATTTTCATTTTGGGTTCTGAGCAGCCAATTACTAACTGCGACCAGAGGTAAGGGAAGAACTCCCCAGAGCACACCTTCTCTTAAAAATCAGGCAGGCAGTTAGTTACATGACGTATTAGGACAGCTACGAGGCAACAGAAGGTAAGTTAGGTAAGGAGGAGGAAGGAGAGAGCAGCATGCAGGCAGCAGGCTAGGTACTGGGGCAGAAGGTGGGTAAAGACGAACCTGGGCTCGAACTCCCAAAGGAAGCCTGCAGGGAGAGAAAAGAGTGAGGTGAGACACGGGCTCCGTCCAACCCAGCAGCAGGTAGGGAGTCTCCATTTCATGCCCCCTCCCATCCCCTCCCTCCCGGACCTGTTCCCTTCCCCCGCCAGGCCCCGCCCTATTCGCCCCTCCATCGTGTTCACCCTCTCCTATCCCTCCTTCTCTCGCTCGTTCCCTGCCTATCTCTCTCCTTTTTTCCTCCTCCTCTGGCAAAAGTCCCCCAAGGAGCCTCGCCTGACCCGGCACTCCCACTCCTTCCGACCCCGGCGGAACATGACAGTGGCAGGCAGAGAGAGCCGGACTAGCAGCCTCTTCCCCGCTGCCAGGCCAGGGCTCGCTTCTTCTCCCTCCCGCCAAGGGTTTCTCCACCGTCCGCGCTGCGGCGGCACCGCCACTGGCCCGTTCTGCGCCCTCCGTGGCTCGGTGCGGCGACCGCGCGCCTGGCCACGGCTTGTCGGCCGCCCGCGGGCGGCGAACTCGGGACCCGTGCTGCGCGGCACCCGCCGTGCGGCCTAGTCGCGCAGGCTCCCAGTGACCAGGCGTTGCAGGTCGCCTCGCTGGCCACCCCGCGTCACTGAGCCGTCCCAGAAGCGCCTTAAGGGGATGGTGAGGCGGGTGAAGAAGGCCCGCCAGCAGCGGGACCCCACAGGGAACCAGCCGAATTCCGACACCCCCAACCCGCTTTCCCCACTCACCTCCGCCATATTGGGACGATCGAGCTGAGCAATAGCGTTGCGCCGAGTGCCCGGATGAGGCCGCTAAGCCAATGGCAGCAGCCGAGTTCTAGCCGAAGATAGGCAGGGAGCGAAGAAACGGAGAGATCAGCAGGACTTAACTGGGGCGGAGGAGGTAGTGTCAGGACCCCGCCTCCAGCGGTGCCGCGGCCTCCCGCCCTGGCTAGCGAAGGCGCTCTGCCTGCCCGGCCTGGAGAGGGCGCTGGACGCCCGCCGCGGAGCTTAGGTTTGAGGGGCGTGGCCCCGGCTGCTGTCCTCGCATCACCTCACCTCGCCGCCCGCCCGGGGAAGCCTCGGCCAGCAGAAGCTGCTCGTCACGGGGCGAGGTGAGCGGGAGTCCCGGGGGCCCTGAGGTCGGCTGGAGCCAAGGTACCTCGGACGTCCCCTGGTTTGGGCGCCATGCCGCGCCTGTCTGAATCAGCTTGTCTGTGACTGCTGCGACTTGCAGTCCTGTTCCGGGGCCGGGAATACTGTGCGGAAACATTACTTTGCGGCCAATTAATACCCGGATTTGTGACCTACTCTTCACTCCGTATTGAGCCTCTTCCTAAGTGCTGGTGTGGAGTAGTTATGCTAACACCTTGCATCCTAAGTGTCTGAAGCAGAAAACAAAATGTCAAAGCCTACAAACCTTGCTTCTGTTGATTGCCTGCTGTGGGTTAAACAGAGAAAGTGAAATTTACTTTGCAGTGGATATTGTACCTAAAAGTTGAAGTGTTTTATGTACAATGGAATATCTATTCCATTTTTAGTGTTTATTTTTTGTCCCAGTACACAGAAGTGGGAATTAGGCCGTTTTCAACTTGATCCCAGGCTATAAAGATTCATGCTTTTAACTTTAGAATCACATGTTTCTGCCTTTGGCCAAATGGCATCTGCCATACTTACTATATAGAATATTGATCTACTGGAGGAATGGTGTACATCACAGTGACACTCAGTTGCAATAATGCCCCAGAGTGTGTCCCATCCTGAGAATTTGGGAGGCTAAAGGCTGTATCCCGAAGTGACCAGTTTGTAAACTGGGTTTGCAGACAGTGCAGAAATTCTAAGCTAGTTTAGGTACTTAATTAATGAAGCTCCATACTATTTAATTTATTCTCTTGTTGCTCTGAGAAACAGAGTAAATTAACTAGTGTCACGTGCTGCACTGCTGAGTCTAGTCTACTTCCAACTGTCCAAACAACACAGCAGCCTATGATGTAGACATACCTGCTCTTGATATACCTAGGGATAAGATGTTTGCAACATAAAAATCCCAAGACTTTGCAGAAACATATTTTTTTAGGAAAGTTCTCACAATCACAAGCAGCTCCAGAAGTACTTTGTTCTCTGATCTCTGATCTGTCTGCCTTTTTCCCAAGTTGTATACACAGATGAGAGTTATCAGGTAAAAATTATCAGTAACAGACAGGCTATGTCAGAGCACACTGCACGTGCTTGAAAAATAAGGAAGATTTAATACTTTCCACCTTTGATCTGAAATACCATTACAACCCACTAATGTTCCTCAGCACTTTTCAGTTTTGTTCCCTCCAGATAGAGCAAACCCAGTTCCTATCCCCATTCCCTTGAAGCCTCAGCTCTGGCAAGGCAAAATAGCTTTCTATGAACACAGAATGTGTAACAGACACAGACCTGTTCATGTAATTGACATAATAGCTCATAAGGTCAAGCAGGAAGAATCTCCAATTCAGGGAAGTACCTATTTGCTACTATATGCATTTTCTCAATAGGAATTCTCCCTGATTTGGATGCAATTAGCTATTTCCTAACTTATGGAGTAGTTTACTTCACAGTCTTTCAACTATTTAATGTGATTAAGTCTTTCAGTTCTGTGCAATTTTACAGAGAAATCTTTTGTTGGTAATTTGACACTTTAAAATTTCTATCAAATTTAGATCAAAGGAAAGTTTTTGTTTATAATTCAGACCACTTTGACAAATTAATGTGAACTCATAGCTCTACCACAGAAGGTCATTAGGTGTGTTACAGGGCTGTTGTATATGTTGCATCAAGAATTCTGAAAAAAAACTACAGCACTCAGAGTTGTAATTGTCAGGAAAATTAATCCACAAAGACCAGAAGTTTATGTCCAAAAAGGAGACAGAGGAGTCCTGTAACCTTATTCTAATAAAAGGTGAGGACATGGGGCAATTCCCATGTGGTCTCTCAAATTGTTAGAGGACACAGCCTCCTATTTACACAGCCTTGGGTAAATAACAGTCTGTGTCAATAAGTGGAATTCCTCTGGAATTTATTGTTCCCCCCATTGCTTCTTTCACCTATCAATATCTGGCTTTATCTACCAGCAGACCCACAGTTCGTTTGTAAAGACACCTCCTTCTCATTTCTTTCAATCCCTCCTCTTCTTATTTTCTCAATAATTATCTTTAAAAACTTTAGTTATCAGTGACTTAATTTTCTGGTTTTGGGTCTTTTCTGGTTTTGCCATTATTTGCAGCGACATCATTTTCTGTCCTTTAGTAGCCATTTCTGGATCAGTAGGCACAGCTACTACTTGCATCCCCTTGATCATAAGTTGAATAAGTTGTACTAAGCAAGGGATCATGCATGGTAAAAATATGAGAGTTGCTATAGCACATAAAAGGAAAAGAAAGCATTCGTTTGACCCACAGTCCACCAGATAACCATCAAAACGTCCCATTCCCATCCTTTCCATGTTTGGACTGGTACATGAGCTAACTTTCTTATTCCCTTTGT